CCAAACAGCACAATCTGGATCGGAAGCTGCCCTCGGATTTGCCGTATCTTTTACCGTATGAGAGCTAGAGGTAGATGTATTTAGAACAATGATGGAAAAATTCAAGCTTGAAGACTGTTTGACAAACAATTCGTGCTAAAAACTGCCCTTGTTCATATTTTTATTTTACTTTTATTTCTTCCCAAAGCTGAAGGGTGAGGTGTAGTTACGGTCTCTCATCGTTACAGTCTTTTCGCAGTAGCAAATCTTTAAGGCCGCAGGCCCGCCTGGAAGCCTTAGTTTTACTGAAATAAGGCTTATAGGCCGAGCCGCAGGCCCGACCATCGCCGCCGGCAGGCCAAGCAGGCCCGGCCCCTGTCGAACGGGGTTGCCTGCGGAGCGACGTGAAGCTGGCAAAACTTCCTGCGGCAGAAGGGCGGGCCCAGCTTCAGCTTGTTATAAGCAAGAATGATGAGAACAACAAAACGGAAGTCACTATGCTGTAGCATGCTGCCTTCCGTTTACTTGTTCCCCGCATTCTGCATTTCAGCTCTATCTTAATGGTTTATAAAGCATTCCGGTAAAGCTGAAATGCAGAAGAATGCGGGGAACAAGAAAACGGAAATCGCTATGCTTTAACATGGTGACTTCCGTTTTCTTGTTCCCCGCATTCTTCTGCATTTCAGCTTTACCGGAATGCTTTATTGTATGCTATAGATGGTTCCGATAGTGCGCGTTTAGAGAAGAAGTAAGGAAATAAAGACCGGAACCAGTTCGAAAATTTTATTTATTTCACAGTTTGAACACTGCAGTTCGGTAGAAATAACTTCCAGTAGCTCCCGAGTAACGGTCAAAATTACTTTCCACTGGTTTTAGCTGTGACTTCAGCACTGGGTCCGGTCCTGATTTCCTTATTTCTTCTTCAATCGCGCACTGTCGGAACCGTCTATATCAGGCGTGGACGGCGCGCACTAGGATGCCTTCTCAGAGAGCAAGGTGTTCTTTGTTGGGCTGTTAACCCAGACGCGGTTCGAAAATGCAACATAGGTGGTGTTGAACCATGACGCTCCCTCACCCCCCCCCCCCCTTTTCTGCGCCGCTCTGTCTGGCAGAAACGAGCCTGGGGGGTTCGCTTAAAAACGGAAGTCACCCTGCTTTAGCATGATTTCCGTTCTGTTGTTTTCTTGTTCTCCGCACTATGAAGCATGGCGACTTCCGTTTTCTTGTTGCCCGCGATGCCCGCATACTCTCCTCCATTTCAGCAGGGCCTGGAAACGCAATGGTCGAGTCGCGGCCGAGGCGCGATACCGCAACGGGGGAAGCTTATGTGAGAAAAGTATGCATCTACGGTGGAAAGCGAGAAGAGATTCGGAAAGCTGGTGAAATTTGACGTGTAGTAGGCTATATGCTCAGCCCGAAAGTAATGTTTGTCGTGGTCAAATCCACGAACAAAGTTCCGTCTGCTAGAGTAAGGTTATGTAGGGTCGAAAAACCATGTTTTTTAACAATTTTTTTCCGCGCACTCGTGAGAGTATCATGTTTTATAATAGGCCTACTACACGGCAAATTTCATCAGCTTTCCGAATCTCTTCTTGATTTTTACCGGAGATGTATACTTTTTTCGCATAAGCTTCCCCCAAACACGCTGTTTTCGCTGGTATCGCGCCTCGGCCGGGACTCGACCATTGCGTTTCCAGGCCCTGATTTCAGGTTTACGGAAATGGTTTATCGGTCGCCTCGCGACGATTCCGCGTACCCCTCACCCCTCCCACGAGAGACCTCTGAGACTGGAGGGCGCGGCTGAAACCGCCTCGCCCGTCTCCCGCGCCGGAGGCGGAGTGGGAGTGGGGACCGCCGCTCGGGCGCTCTGTCTTCGACTGTCCGGGCTGTGGAATCAGCTCAGTTCCGCGCCGCCCTCTGACGGAGAACGTTGCCCCGTCGCGCGCAGTGCCGCATCGTACTGGACACCCCTGCTCCTCCTCCACCCTTCAGCCATGGACGGGCTGCCCGACGAAGTCCTCTTGAACATCCTCTCCTTTGTGTCGGACGCGCACGCCCTGCTAGACTCGGTGCCGCTGGTGTGCTGGCGCTGGTACCGCCTCGCCCGCGACCGCCGGGCCTGGGTCTCCGCGAAGCTCACCGTCTACACCAGCCTGACCGACGGCAACCATGCGTGGTTCTTGGCGTCGCATGACGCCCGGGTGCTGTCACACGCGCCGCGACTGCGCGCACTGAGGCTGATCGACAGGAAGACGACGGATCCCCAAGTCGTGCGACTGGTCGCCGCCCTGGACAGCGCTGGCTGCCGCATCGACAAGCTGCAGTTGCCGATGCTGCACAGCTGCCGCGCCTCCACGGCGGTGCTTGACGCCCTCGTGCGGCTCGTGGGCCGCCAGCCCGGCGCTCGCTCCCTCCACGTCTACCTGGGAGGTGGCGTCGTGGCCCAAGCAGCCCTCTACAAGCTCATCGGGAAGCTGTTGCCGAGTGTAGCAGAGCTCGTTCTCGAGGTGAGTGGAAGTACGAGGAGTCCTTTTCCCCATAGCGAATGCGGGAAACCAAGAGGACTGACATCAGTATAGGGTATAGGGTATTCACCGGAACCTAAATAAGAAAAGCATGACTACCCGATCTGTTTCCTCCTGAACGCTGACTAGTCAACGATGACCTTCGTATGCCGGTCAGCCAATGAGCGCGCAGAGGAAAGCAGATCGAGCAGTCATACTTTTCTTTTTAGCCCGCCCTTCTGCTTTGAAAAAGCTAT